GAGACTGGTTAGGCCCCTCCAGAACCTTGATATGTTTCTTACAGAGCCACTCCGCGGTTATCATGGCTGTGTGCTTCGGGTCGTTGTCATGTTGGACCCAGCTATGACCCATCTTCAATGCTCTGACTGAGGGAAGGAGGTTGTTGCTCAAAATCTCACAATAAATGGCCCCATTCATCCTCTCCTTAATACAGTGCAGACGTCCTGTCCCTGAGCCAAACACTGGAATGTCTATATTTAGCCAGGTGTCATGTTGCACTGACAGAAAACAGGCACAAGAAGTTCAACACATTAGGGCTTTGGAATTTTGATTCAATACGCCCACCATGAGGGTCAGCTGTTACAGGTCTGTGCTTTACAAATGTGGATTTTGGGCACAATCTCATTGTCCTTTCAGAGAGAACTGATCCATGCTGTGTGAGGCCAAGATCATTTTTTGTCCATACGGTGCAGCAGTGTTGAAGAAATTGTCATTAACTGTTTGATTAGAAAAATTTCCAACAAGCTTATTGTGAAAATGTATTGTTTTTTATGGTCTGATACACTGAGTACCGTGTTTACTTTTTTGCTTTGCAGTTTGTTGAATTGCCACAAGATGGAGACAGAAAGCCCAGCTGGTTCCGGTCTAGCCAGCTAGCAACCAACGACTAGTGTGGCTCACAGGCATGAGGAAGTGGATCTCAGGGGATTCCCCTCAACCTGGTGCTTGCAAGGGCATGAAGCCACATGTTCTCACATTTTGGTTTCTGTTCAGTGTGTTTACAGGAAAACACAGCTAATCATGGCTAAAAACAAAGTGATTATGGAGTATTTGAAATACAGTACTCACATTACAGAAAAGCACATTTTACTTTGCAAATCATAAAACAAAGGTGGGCCATATTATTTAGAATACTGTGAAGACTCTAGTTAAAAAAAAAAAAACGGGATGGAGTCAGGTGCAGCAGGCGAGGTTAGCATCCTTCACTGTGCACACATCTGTTTGGATTTGGATGAAAGTATGGATAAAACTTTAAGGCCTCTCAACTCACAAATTATTGCTTTCACATAAAAGCACTGAACTGAAAATTAAGCTGTACAATCCCTTTCATGTATTTTATTCTTTGAAAAGATGCCCAGCAGGCACACAAAAGGCTCTAAACTACATTCAAACCAAACTACCCCTAGAACTGTACTAAACAAGGAAAAACAAAAATTCAGACAGACAAAGCTGAAACAGCGTTAACTCTGCTGTTGACTCAACAAAAGTGAATCTCTATGTGAATGTGTTGCTTTGTCAACAAGAGGTGACACAGCTGTTAATGTTTTATTCCCGTGACACAAGGCCTGCTTTTTGGGAACAACAGCATCTTAGACAAACTCAAACACAAACATTTCAGTGGAAGCCCATTTGTTACTGATGGGAAATCAGCCCAGACTCATGAGCCTGCCATCCACAGACAAGTGTTAGACAATGATTGTACAAAGGGAAGTTTGGTCAGCATGCTGAATGTGGCCTTTGTGTTGATGAAGCTTTTCCCCACATTCACATTTTGCTGGCCAGGTCTTTGACCCATACTACTCTGACATGATGAAATCTCATACTGCCTCACTCAGAATAGTGCTCAGCACGCTATCCCTGATGTAGTATGATGATTCTGTGGTCATTCTGACAATGTGAAAGTACATTACACATATTCATTTGGCAGACAACCTTTTTCCAAAGTGACATACAAATGAGGTACAATTCAAGCCACAGCATATTCACAAAAAGTACCTCAGCACTCAGTTCCACATTCCACATGACACTAGTGCCAAAAAGCTTGTATTAACATGTGGCAATCAGGCAATTAACATGAGCTTGAGAAGAACTGAAAGAGAAAGAGACAGAGGGGAAAACAAATAAAAAATAAATAAATGTGAGGTTTTCCCATTTGTTCTTCTTAAAGTATTATTCTACTTTATATACTTACAGTCTATATTATAATATACACTCACTGTATATTCAGAGGTGTTCCTAATTGTCTGACCCTCTCTTGTATGTAGCTGGGGAGAACAAAAATAGACACCTCTGAATATAATGTAGTCCAATACAACACCACCTTTACACTATGACCTCAGTAATAAGCACAGAATTGAGTTTATACATTTATGACAATTTCACCAAAAAACTGAAACATTTTGAGCTTCATAAACACAGATGTTAAGGTGGAAGTGTTGCATGGAATTGTATACAATTGTACAGGTGTACCTAATAAAGTGGCTGGCTAGTGCATTACAAAACTATTGTATTCTATACTATACAGTACTAGACTAGACTATACTACATTGTTATACTGTCGGGAGACCCTATGGTATCATATGGTATGGTGTACTACTGCACAATTCTGTGCTATACTTTATAGAGAAGTTGTATTTTTTCATGGTTACCATTATACCTGTGCACTTGATTCAGATGTTCACTGTCTCTGATTATTATTATTGAGGAATTTTACTGTTACTTCACAATGGAAATGAATTATGGGAAAGAGTGTTTTAAACAATATGTAACAAACTTTCTTTAAGATAATACATGGGTACAAAGAAGATGACACAAAATCTAGCTGAGCAGTATGTGAGTTAGTTTACTTTATGGGCATAGGTGGAGGCTTACGTGGGGGGAGGATTTTGATATTTCGTATAATTCACATAAAGGAAGTGATTTTACTCTTTAGGTTTTAGAAGGCAACATGTGAATTACCCTAGTTCCCATTTCTAATATTTCCTCACTTTCAACTGTGCATGTGTGACCTCTTTTAGCCTTAGATCCTCATTTCATTTACATCCTCTTTTTGCATCCTTCAGTGCAGTAATGTCTGAGCATCTAAGCATTCCTTGATTTCTCAGTTTAGACCATTTCCATATAAACAGAGGGCTGGATAACGTCTGTCTGAGGGTGTTTTGTTTGGCAGTCTTCATTTTATTCACACTGAATAAAATGAAGACTGTTGGTAAGAATTTTGATTGTCCAGATTGTTGTGATGCAGTTGAGCTACAGTGGAGTTGTGTTGTCTGCCTGTCAGCTCCTTATCATAAGTGTAGTGAGGCAGCATGCACGGCAGCTTATGGTCTGTGCAGAGCAGCTGCTTTGAGTATGTGAAGACCCACTGTTGTGCAACTGTCCTGCATCAGAAACCCCACAGAAAGGCACTGGTCCTCATGTGACCCTAAACACATCATAGCAGAGACGTACTTTAAGTATAATTCTGAGTGACAAAGAGCTCTAGTGTGAAACAAGAACACCACTGGTTTGTTTCCACAGGAAAAATAACTACACTTGTAACAAATAATATTGTAAAGACATCAAAACAATAGGTGAAAAAATATGTGACATAATTTCATAAGGAAATAAAGTGCCATAAAGGGCAGTGATATAAATTTACTAGTGAGTCTCACAGACATTCCCACAGTCCCATGGGGGATATTACAGTATGCCAACATTAAAGATATTTGTCAAGGGCAGAGCAGCTGTCACCTTTCTTCAAATACAGCAACAGTGAGAGGACATATGAGTATGTTTCACTTTCTCTGCTGCATTGAAGGAGATAAGTGAACACTGTGACGTCTGAATGTTGCATCCAGTGCTCCTGGTAATTTCAAGATCTGCTCAAAGGAAAAGACAATAAAACAGGATGATAGTAGTAGTGTTGCCTATGATAAGCACCATAAAGACTTTAATAGTTTTTCTTGCTGTTATTCTTGCTCATATAGACTATTAATGCACAGAAGTACTTGTATGTATGTCATATATGTTGGTACTTCAACATAAACCTATATTTTTAATAAACATTGTTCCAATGCAAACAAGAGAAATAAAAATGAGAATACCAAAAAATCTGTCATTATAACAATCTTCTGGGAGAACTGGTGCATTATCTGACATAAGTTAGCTACATGTATTTACAGTATCAAAATGTTATACTATAGCCTTTACCATTATTAGATTGTTATTGACTAATCATAGTGGAAGCAGCATTTTAATGTTTTATCTGGATGAAACTGAGCTAGTTTTAGCTTGTTTTATTAGGACGACTACTAGCCTACTTTAGTCCAGTGGTTTTCCACCTAACGAACAGACCTCTGAAACATGACAAGAAGCACCAACAAGACACTGCAAACTTAAAGCTACAATATATAACTTAAAGTAACACTGGCATGACACTCCAAATCAACCCACCCTGCTCCACTCAGTGCTCTCGCTCCCTGGTCCACTGCAGCCTATTACAATCTGCCACACTCTGCCCAATTCTTCAGATATTTTACAATAAATCAAAATGCAACAAAACTTATCAATCAACCAGAAATAACTGCAAATCTCTAAATGGTTAGAGAAGTCAGTCCTGCTCATAACCTTTTAGAAGCTAATATCTCTGCACTTCTGCAAGTGCTGTTCAAAGAGTCTGGGTCACAGGAGGCTTCAACAACACCTCTCCACATTAAGACAAGATTTGGAGCATATATAAATGAATGCTGTAGCTTTAAAACGCATTAGAAGTTTATCGTAGGCCTATGTCTGAAAAAGCTAACTGAAACATTCACTGGAGAGAAAGTAGCCTATGACCCCCTGAAATGTAATGGACTAGATAGAAACTGCATAAAATGGAAATGTTTTGTTAAGTAGGCTAGAGGTACAACGGCGTTAGGCTACTTCAGTAACCTACAGTACTTTAGGAAATGTACTTAGCTACTTCGTACCATTCTCCACGAGCCATCATATCCGGAAATGAATTATTTTATCGATTCACCATGAGTTGGGAATAGATAGGTCACGTGAACACCTTCTCATTATCGTACATTTTACGGGAATACCACGGGCGCGTCATAACCACAAGGTACAAAGTACCACATTTACACAGAGAGATACGGAGAGGGAGAGAGAGACAGCTGCGGCTGTGGAGAAGTGAACGTGGTGGAGCCGAGCTCACGGTGAAAGGAAACGTAGAAGTGAAAGAAGAAAGAAGCCACGGTACGTTGCACAGGCAGTTTTCGGGGCTTAGGGTGGATCATCCACGTTTATAAAGGCAGCGCTGGTATACTGACTTCCCTGTTTGTGAAGTTGAATGCATTGAATCCGGTGACAGCCTCGACACAAACAGCAACAGACATGGTAAGTGAGCGTCAGTCACTTTGTGGGTTAAACTGCTTGTTATAATAGCCAACAGCCTGAAAGGAAAGAGAGGAAACTTTGGGGTAACCTGTAAGGTCCCCGAAGGTTATAGTGGGAAATGGCTGCTGTCATTTAAAATGATGATTAGTATTTATGCAAAAAAATGCACTAAAATGAGATACAAAGTATGTTTTTATTTATTTGGCTTCCCACGAAGAATGGTTTCAACCAAT